GTATTTATATATAAAATGTATATTTATGCACTATGACATGCTCTACACCTCTAAAGGTATTTTTCTCTCTTGTTACATAAAATAAGGGATTTCGCAACTGGTTGCATATATTGCTATTTAAGTATAGATATTTAAATATTTAATTTTATTATGAAATTGGCCATAACATTAGTAAAAGTTTCAAAATCAATAAAGTACCTATTTTTTTAAATTGTGTTAACCTTAACTGATTAAATCCTAAATTGAATTCAAAAATACTCACCAATCCTCGAAGCAACTGTTTATAAAGAAATAAACACTAAATTATAAAATAAAATTTCAACTTTATTACCCCTCTCACCAAATTACAACAAGTTGTGATTTACAAACTGCAAAATATGTATAAATAAAATAAAAATAAATATAAAATAGGTAAATTTCCTTCTTCATCACATCTCGATAAGATGGAATGTTTTGGGTTATTCTTAAAAATATAGTAAATTATATGTATATTTTATAACTATGTATAATAAAAAGAGTAACTAAATACAAAAGATTTTATTTTTAAACTTCTAACAACTTAGAAAGGTTTTCTTTGCAACAATGACTCCAGAGTCTTATTGCTTGTCTGGAAGTCACAAAATATTATACAAAAAATAAAAACAATATACACTGTGAACAATATAACTTACAATATAATTTACTTCGTAATTAATTATCGAATTGAGTACGATCATTCTATTAGTCAACTCCACAGTATATATTGCATAATTATCTTTAGGAAATACAGAACAGATAAAGAAATTAAATGAAAACATTTGTCAACTTTTAACCAGTGAGGTAAACTCTGCTAGGCCAGTAGTTGTTTAAATCGAATTATTGAAAATGCTTTTTACGGAAAGAGTATGGAGAAATTTAAAAGCATCGAAATTATTTAGAAAAGAGTGTTTTTTGCTTTGTTTTGTTTTTGGATAAGAGTATGATACAATGAACAGCGAAAAACTAATCGAGATGAAGAATTATGGAATACAAAAAAAAAAACGAATATAAACTTTTTTAATGACAAAAATGTCAAATTTCTAATGTACCTCATCCAAAAAACACATTTTAGGTATTGAAATCGTACCTCACCAGTTAAAAGTTAAAACTGAAGAACAAACAATATATAAAATTGGTGACTGCAGTTTTATCTTCATGCTGGACAAAAAAAACATTTTATTTAAAAAACCTCAAAATTGAAAAATATTCACACACAACTTTAACTAAAAGTTTTGAGTTCTACCATTTTCGTAAATTTTAAACGCAATGTTTTCCTTGGTATTAAAACCACAGTCGTTTTTTACCTGTACTGTTATTTCTGCATTTACACTTTGTGAAATTAATTTAATATTAAAATAGACAAGCGAAATTCAAAAACTAGAAACATTTCTTAATTTTTCTCTAAACCAAACAATTTCACTATTTTTTATTGCACCAATTTGTTGATGTTTCTTTTTTAATCTCAAAAATAAATAAATACTGTACAACTTTCAAGTAAACTGCTTATGAAAATATAAAATAGAATGGAATGTATGAACGGAACGTTAAACACTAAATTTTAACTATCAACAATGAGCTACTTACATCTAAAAATTAATAAACCCTATTAGAATTTTAGACGAGCGAGGTACCAACAAAATCAAAGAATACATGCGAGGCCTATGGAAAAAAATTGATTTTATTGTCATCCGCCTTATTGACCGGATCTGGCCCCTTTTTTATTCAATAAAATTGCTTTTAACGTAACCATATCTCATATAACGATAATAATACTGAAATTCATAAAATTCGCTTTTCATGGCGCAAGTCCTATGCTATGCAAGTTTGGTGAATGGTTAATGTCATAAAATAAAGATAACACATTCTCATGTTTCGCAAATTTGACTCAATGTTTTAGTATTTTTCGACGAGATACCAACCTGGCAAAAATGTACAACCTACCACTGTGAATTGTATATTATAGGTTAGATGAGTGTAATTGCACATGTTAATAATAATAATAATAATAGGCCAATTTGAGGTGCGATTACGAATAAATACGATCAAATCAATAGAAAACTGGAAACAAAATAAATTAAACATTTTAGGTTAAGTTTTACCATCAAATTTGAACACGTTCACTACCGCCGGCCACTATAGTGGCCTTTCGGGTCTCCTATAGTGAACCGCGGCCATTATACTGGCAGTGAATTCAAACTCATTTTTATGCAATACAGATACTAACTGGGCTACGAGTGGTACTTTCAAAGTACTTTCAAATATAAAATCCATTTACACTCCAGGGCAACATTTGAGCATTGATCAGGCAATGATATTATGGCGAGGAAAACTGAGTTTTCGCCAATACATACCCAACAAGAGACATAAATATGGCATCAAACTCTACGAGTTAACCACTAATAGTGGATTTATCCTAAATATAATTATTTATGTGAGTAAGGGAACCTTGGCCGACGAAAATGAGTCTCATGCTACATCGGTTGTGAAACAACTTTCGGAAAGTTATTTGGGCAAAAGTCACATACTGTATGTAGACAACTTTTATACTAGTGTCTCACTCGCCGAATTTTTGCTCTCGCAAAATACTGGAATGGTTGGTACTTTGAGAGTTAACAGAAAAGGAAATCATAACAAGAAGCTAAAAATAGGGGAAGCTATCTGGAAACGCAAAGGAAAACCTGTTATAAATGTAAAGATAAGAGGGACGTTAGAATGATAACCACTTGTCACAAACATCAGATGGTTAAAGTTACAACAAAAAGAGGCCACAAAAAACTAAAACCACAGTGTGTTCTAGATTATAATGCCCATATGTCGGGAGTTGACAGAGCCGAATAGATGATGTCATATTATTCCAGTCTAAGAAAGACAATAAAAAGGTATCGAAAAACATTTTTTCATTTGGTGGATATCTGCATTTGGAATGCCTGTTTCCTCTGCAAAAAGAAACACCAAACAAAAAAACCCTTTGAGTTTCGAGAAGAAGTTTTGAACAAACTTCTCAAACCAAAACAATTTTCGAAGCCACAAGCCACAGATTTCCAGTCACACCACTAACCTGCTGAGAATGTTGGAGAAAAGAATACTATGAAAAGATGCAAGTGGTGCTCGAAAAGAAATGTAAGAAAGAGGTCAAAGTATTATTGCCCGCAATATGAAAATCAACCTGGATTATGTGTTACGCCATGTTTTGCAGAATGGCATTTTGTAGAACTCACATTTACTTTAATAAATAATAAATAAATACATTTTATTTAATTTCCTTGAGACCACTATAATGGCCGTCGGTCTGCCAAAGTGTTTATGACTACTCATGGACTAGCGGCCAGTTTAGAGGCCCTAAAACAAAATGGCGGAATCTTGTTCAAAAGATCAAACTGAATGTGTAGCTACTTGAATCTCCAAAAAATTCCTAGTGGTTCAAAAGTTATTTCAGTTGGCTTGGGATAAGCGCAAGCAAAATATTGGTGGTAGTGAACGTGTTAAAATATTCTGGTTGGAAGCTTTATTTAAATTTTAAAACTTGCACTGTGTAAAATGAGACAGACGAATATCCGACAATTATCCTCTTGCAAGATATAGTGACAAAATTGCATAGCAAAAAATTTGCAATAAACATCGTGAAAAGTGATTTTTACAGAAAATTCCAACTAAAACCATTTAACTTTGCAAGTACCTCCATACTATTCAATTAATCCAAATTTTTGGAATGTTTATGTATATTATTACACTAAATAACATAAAATCTCTCTCTGGAGTGTCACTTTCAAGAATAATTAAATTAAAACGTATTCATTTTTCGATGCCCTACTAAAATGTTTTTTTTATTATTAAAATGTTTCATAATATGTACACGGCGTAAAAAAAACATTGTGACACGCAGAGAGGAATTTTAAGGATAATATTTTGATATTTTTAGGAAAACGTTTGTATATAGGAAATATCTCTTTAACAAATATAAAGTTTTTCTTGTTTTCAACAATGGACGGATAATTAGAGCAATTATCAGGTTTATAAGGCCTTCGTACAGGCACATATTTTCAAAATTCATCAAACAACAATTAATCTAAGTTGATTGTTTAGCTCGAAAGGATCCATCTTAATCTAAAGTTCTTATTACAGTAAAATAATCAATTTAAATTTTACAAACCTTACAATTTTTAAGTATAAAAATTGATCTGAGGCACTTTTATAAGACCACTTCGAATTTACGTTAATGATATTGACAATTGTCGTAGATCAAGATGCGGTCGTAAAAATAGTTTATCTATAAATAACTTTATAATACGATATAAAGATTTACAGAAAACAGCTTTTTAGGTGGTTATAAGACTAACGGAGATAAAAAATTATCGATAAACCATTTTTACAGTCCCCGCTATTTTCTTGGAATGATATATTTATTTCAGCAACAAAGTAACCATTTAATCATAAAAAACCGCATGCGGTATTTTTAAAACGATTTAGAAATAATTTTTAACAATAACAGCATAATCGAAATAACAACAGTCTCAAAAATCTTTTCAAAATAATCGATATTTTTATATAATTTTTTTGTTACGTTCTGAAATATCTAATGTAGATTTCTCGATTTAAAAATCGATATTGTAAATATCCTTTGTACCACGTATTATTGCTTGTAAACATTTTACACCAATATCAACTCTACTTAAAATATTTTGATTATTAAAACGGTAAATATTTATGTACAAAAACAAATATTAACAAGTAGGCGATGCACTGCTAGTCAGGCAGGTTTGTACATTAAAATATAAAAGAAAGGGTTTTGAGAGCTTTCGAATAATGATTTGTAAAAAATCGAAACCGTATTAAAGTCAAATAAAATATTGATATATCTCTTTGGTCCCCAAAATGAAACGTCACTACTTCATAACCAGAACCATCCGAACAAACAAAAGTTCTTAACAAAATAAATCCCACTATTCAAAATAAAAAGTACGAAAACTCAGTTGATGCACAACCTATTGATGACTCTTGCTTAATAAATGCGAGTTAAACTCGTAGACGTTGCAACACTGTTCGCCGCAAATGTTGCACTTCCAAGGATTCGCGTCTGAATGACAGCCTTTGTGCAGAAAGTACAGCGTCTGATCCGGAAATCCTATGCCACAAAAGACGCACTGCAATCCGTTGAGTGACCTTTAATTAAATAAAAATGCAGATGTTTAGTTAATTTACAAACCTTTTGATCTGCCTCCAATGTTGGGTGATATTAAAATGCATGTACCTAAATACCCAATAAACCAATTGACTTTATAGTCTCCTTTGGACTTTTTAGTCATATTTCACTGGACTTACGTCCTAATAATCGCAAATTCACCATGTCAACATGACAGTATACGAAAACATTCTCTATCAGTGTTATCTCAACCTACCTATATATTATTATTAAAACAGATTAAGGTTTATCTTACCCGACCAAAAAATAAATCTTACGTTTAAAAATTTTCAAAAAAGTCACCTAATATAGTCATCAAGTAAGTAACTAATGGACAAAATTTGAAAAAAATCGGGTAAGCCATTTTTGAGGAAAAAAATGTTTTGTTCAAAAACTCAAGTAAGTAAAAAAGTTTCATCAGATTTTTTCAAAATTGTTCTATGCGATCTCTATGTCATTGTTATACTAGGAGAATTTTTTACAAAATTTTTAAACTTACAGTTTTTTTATAAATGAGATTAATATTATTATTTCCTGTTGCTTTTATTCTAAACAGTGAATAATCGTAAAAAGTCAATAAAAACGTTTTAATTTAATAAATATTTTTAAATTTGGCACCTAAAACATTAGTCCAGTCGGTGCTGCTAGGTATACAATTTAAATTAACGTTTCTGAATCTATCCACTTGGATGTATCGTGACCGCCAAAAATTTTGCAATGTTGCCAAATCGAATTACATATCAGAGAATAAAGGATATTACAGAATGGTTAATATAACAACAAACGTAATAATTAATTGCGGGATTATTTATTGATTATACGGATGTCCGGCGACAATGAACATTGTTCAACTTTTTTGTAAAAAAATATAAGATATTTTTGGTTTAAATATTTAATAAACTTCCATAACAACTGTACAAATTCTTAAATGTATAATATATAAAAACCACTATATAGGCTTGAGGTCTGTTCCGTGTTTGTTAAGCTATAAATTAAGAAATAATAATTGATCGTAACTGATACACAGCTCGAGTACAAAAATCAGCACAATTTTTTTTGGTAACTTATTTCAACAAATATTCTTGTAAAATAAATGTTATTTAAAAATAACCAAGTATTTATATTACTGAAATTGATAATATACGAATGTCCCGCATAATATATTGTTTAAAATGATTATAACTATATATTTTAAATGAAGACTCCAATTAGCTGGTTAGCCTGATTCATAAAAATAATTAAAAATGTCTTTATTTGATGTTTGTCTCTTAATATTTTGTCCCGATGTTTTGTAATAATTTAAAATTATAAGAATTTTGTCACACACCGTGTTTGGACATTGAAAATTCTAGATCTATAGATTTTTAAGGCTTTAATAATATTTTTCTATGACTGAGCGTTATACATTATATATTAAATAATAACTCAAAAACTTACAAATCAGTTTTTCGGAAATTCCAACGAGATTTTTTTGGGAAATAATCGAGGCATTTGATCTGCGTTCTTAATAACTTTTAACAACTAAATTATAAAATAAATGTCCAAAACTTAAAACACTAATAATTTATATTGGTTGATATGGGAGGGAAAAAATTATTTCACATGAAATCTTTTTAAAAATTAAGTCGAGATACAACTGATACAAGTTAAAACAAAAAACGAACTGACTAATGAATTTAGATATTTCATGGCATATGCACCCAAAGACTGTTTATATTAACAACATAAAAATCACGTCGCAATAAGCTTATCACATTTCATATTTGGAAGTAGGTGTCAGTTTTTCAGTTTCAAAACCGTATGTTTCAAAAGTAATATTCTCCTTGAAATCATATTACAAAATCATATTTTTCTCTGTATCCTGTATTTTGCTCAATCTCGCTGTGTACACCGTACATACTTTTTATTACTAATTCATATAAATTTAAACAGTAAACAGTAACCCAACTGAATAGTTAACCGATTAGGCCGATGTACGTATTATGTATACAAAATTGATTTGGTTCAGCATCAAAAAGTTTCCAATGTGAGTCTATGGTACACTCGTCAAAATGCTGACATGGCCCTAGTTTCTTTTAATTATCTCACTTATTATTTAAGATAAAATTATGATTTGACAATCGTTAGGATCCTTAAGTTTTACATTTTTACGAATTTTTGCAGTTTTTATGATATCGGAGTATATAAATAAAAATCGGTAAAATAGGCAGTTTTTTGGACGGATCGGAGATAAATGAGTATTTATACAATTTTGTGCCATTTAAGACCAAACAAATTTGAAATTTTGTGCCTAACAGGATACAGAGAAAATTTTGATTTTTTAATATTTCTCTAAGGATAATTTTTTCTTTAGAAACATATATTAAACTTTTTTTTTGAGAATAATTCGCTTTTCCCAGGACGATTATTGGACAACCTATGTCATTTAAATCTAGAAATCAAAAACTACTATTTCGACAACTCATACAATTGTATCTATAAAATACCAACGAAAATTCGATTTTAACCCTCCGCCGCTTAACAATATTTACGTGACAACTAGAACAGTAGATACCTCTGTATGTGTTTACTTGGCAACAACGTATATTGTTCCGTCTCTGTAATATCTATATCAAGTGTTGCCCTCTTTTGCTTCACGTACCAACTCTAATTAGCAATATTTATAGTTACAGAAAACTATAATGTTTAGCACTAGTTTGCAACAATTTTTATACTACCGTAACTCCAGCTTGCGTTAGCGAAACGTAACTTTTGTAGGGTAATATAAATCTTAATATTATGATATACTGCAATGTTATATAGTGGTAACCAACCTCTGTTTATGGTTATTAAGGAAGTCATAACTACGGGTAGGCAAAATAATCGATTAATCGATTACTTTCGATTAATCTATTATTTTCGATCAATCGATTACTTTCGATTAATCGATTATTTTAAATAATCGATCATTTATTTTGATAATTTCTCAGCCCTAGTCATAACGGGCTACCCGGTAAAAATTTCAACAACAGTTATGACATGACTGAACTGTCATTATTTTAAGTCACATTCGGAAACTTGTATTGATGGTGTCAAATGATAACATTTTATTTGATTTCAGGTTGCAAAACGTAGTAAATTGCAGTATATCAACGTTGTAAGATTCATGCCCGTTACCTGATCTCTACGTGCTCCCACACTCACATAACGTACTTGTTACCGCTCTAACTCGAATTTGACATATGACGTAAAAATGTAATGCAAAGGTGATGATACTTTTAGTATCGTCCTCTTTATTATATCCGATGAAACCAATCTCCAAAACAATTTTGCCATTCTGAGCGAGGTCACATGCCGATCTGACAAAATAATTTCACGCACAGCATCAATATTTTTCGCGACAACAGAGGTACATGGACGACCTTCGCGAAGATCGTCATCAAACGTTGGTCTTCCACGCTTGAATTCTGCGAACCAATTGTAAACCATAGTTTTGGATGGTGCTTCAACCCCAAATAATGAACTAAGTTTTTCCACACACTGCTGCGGTGTTAAACCGTATCGAAAATCATTAAAAATCATCACTCGGAAGTCACGATTCGAAATTTCCATTTTTCACACAAATATTACTCTCGTTAAATTTTGTTGAAACGAAACCGAGCAATTTGAAATCGAACTGTCAACTGAATGATAGGTGAAAAACGTCAAATTTTACGAATATGTCAATCGCAGAACGCTGGCAATACAATGAGTACTTGATTCCGCGAACTTTAGCAGTGGCCCTCGTATGTAACCTAATATTCGTTAACTCCGTTGGTCATCACTTCTATACTCGCTGAAATAAATACCTAAGAAAATACGATCCTGTGTATATCTAGGATAGAGTCAAGCTAAATAAAATATATCTTGTTAGCAAATGAACGTTCCGCGTTTGAGCGAGACTCAGGTGAGATCTCGGTAAAAAGTACCAATTGTAATATACTTTGCAAATTATTGCGTGACATTTTAAAGTATAAAAAATAAAGGAGTTTAAATATGAATTTAATATGGTTTTGTTTACCAATTTGCACCAAACTTTGCATCAAATATGCATGGGTAATAAATTACCAATTAATTAACTAGACGATCACTACTACTGGAGGAAAAAGGCCAAATACAGTAAGTATAGAATTTAAAACAAAATTGAGAGGTAAATATAAAATTTCAAATTTAGACAAAAATCAAAGGGTAGGGGGTGGGCGGTTACAGGTTCCGTTAGGTTTTTATTTTCAGTAAATTATGGTAACCTGTTTTATTCGTATTTTCAATTGGTAAATAACAATAAATATATGTTGAAAATTAGAGTTGCATTTTTCACTTAATAAAAGCTAAAATTGTGATTTGCACTATTGCATATCTGACAGGTTAAAAATAAACCGCCATTTTATTGGCGTAGATACACTATTGAATCTAGCTATTTTTTAAGTTGAAACAGGTTATACTTTCGTTATGGTCAGATGTCTAGATTAGACCATCTTAAGTACATTCGTCCGCGTTCATTGCTGTAAAATTGACATTGTCATTGGTGCTAAATTGTCGTATGTTTTTTTGTTCATCTTTAACTTCAGCATGTACAACAAATAGTTAAGTGATACACCCTATATAGGTTTCATTTCGAATGAACTGAAAGAGCGGTGTGATATTTTTAAAGGAACATAGGGGTCTATTCTGTAACAATTCCTTTATATTTAATGGCCTTTAAAAATATTTTCTTCTTTACTTCTGTCATTATTTAAACGGATCTTTAAAATACATTAGAGAACTATCTTAAAGAAATCTGTTTAAATAATAACAGAAGTAAATTAACGAATACGAACATATTTTTATAGGCCGCCAATATTTTTATAGGCCGTTAAATATAAAAGAATTTTTACAGAATAGACCCCATTGTACCTTATTCACGAAAAAAACAGAAAAGCTTAAAATGGAATAAATTGAACGTTTTAATTTACAGTAATTGGGCGTATACATTCAGTCAAATATAGTCTTACCAAATTTCAACATTGGCCCAAAATGTATATAGGGTGGCTCATATTATGGACGTAAAATTAAATATTTAAAAAATCCTACAACTAGTCAAATATAAATTGAATATGAACTCAAGGTATTTTATTTAATTGTTTTTCAGATTTTATTCTCATTCTATTTCTACTTTTCAAATCTAGTGGCACCACCGGGTACACTTTTAACCTGAACTTTAACATTAATTCAACCCTACTGACGACCAATAGTGCTCACCGACGAAAGACTAGCGGCAAGCAGTTTATAAGGAAGTAACTTATTTCTCTGGACAAGATCACCGAATACAAAATCATACTTGTCGAAACTACATTAAACTTGGTACTTAAAAAATGGTTTTGTGTATAGAGTTGTTGGCGAAATTTCTCGGCAAGCACACATTTTTACGGCTTTCTGATTTTATAGCAACCAACTGATACTTCTAATTAAACAATTAACCGAGAAGATAAACAATCGCGGAAATCCGACAATTTCTAGACTTAATTTCCTGACATAATTACTAGAGTACAAAAACAAGCAGTAGCATGTCTATTTTGAGTGAAGTATATTTTATTAAAAATATTTCTAACAAATTTTAAATTGGACCAGCAACAACGCAATTGAGGTAGGTTAATGATCTTAAATTAAATTCAAGAGTAAACTGCTTTAATAACAATAAATTTGACAAAAATGTAGAGTAACCTTAGTTAATTACGTAGATGGTGTAAGTCAAACATCAACAACAAATTTGTTTCTTGGAGCGTTGTTTACAAAAAATTTTCTTGAATTTTTAACAAATTTTTAATGAATATAGAATGTATCCGCTACTTTATAAAAGCATATAGAATTTAACAGATGCACTGTATGTAAACCCTATGTCTGATACTGATATAATTTTGAATTCAGATTTCCATGAAGATTCCATAAATTGGATAATACAGGGGTACCCATTTAACAAAATTGTCGCTGACGTCATTACTCACGTACGTTCAGCAAAATGCAGTAAATGAAATTAAAAAACGACATCTTTCGGGAATTTCCTTAAAAAAGGATTTTATTCCATACTTTACGCATACATTGTATGTATATTTATTTGTAAACCATGACAATTCGCTATTGAGTGGTGTGGAAATAATATTAAAAAAACAAACAAGCGTAAAATAATAGTCTGAAAAAGGGGAAATTGACCCATTCTTAAATTTTCCAATTTAAAGCTAAAGGTGCCATTCTTTGTTTTTGGAGATCCTACACCCTTGTCACTGTTTTGTACATGTATTTCAATATCACCTTGAATAACATTAAATGAAATGAAAAAAAAAACGACACATCTGGAAAACCATGCAATATATTATTTATCAATTACCTTTTACTTAAATTCCTCCACAACGACGAATCCGAAGGCTGTTCGGGCCCCGTCGACGTGATCGTCCCATTGGTGGATATCGCGGAATCGTTGGCCGACTCGGAATTCGCACCAGGCGATGCTGTAGATCGCCCCCGTCCGCTGGAACCGCTTCGCGATATTATTTTTCGCTTTAGGTCGTCTCTGAGCAAACTCTTCAACGGCGACACCTTGATCAGCGAGCTGAGGCTGCTCGAAGTCGCCGTTTGCATTTGGATGCTTCCTGAAAATATAATAAAATAAAAACGATTTACTGGAGAGAAAAAATAATTGAAAATGTATGGTTCATAGAGATTGAAAAATTATGGAGAAAATGATATAAAATCCATCAATCACAATTCACGTTTAGTATTATTTTTAAAATATTCAAAATAATGATTAAAAATAAAGAAAAAAATATAAGCAAGGTGTTTCATGTCATCTGGGTTATGCAAGTAGTACTAGAGCTGTTCCTGACTCTAACTGAATGTTCTTTTTTAAGGATGCTTGTTGATCTGCAGCTACTCTCCACATGTTCTCTCTTCTCCCTTCAAACACTTGCTTGATAACAAGTGCAGAGCTCACGTCTTGTCAATTGCAGATCGTTATGAGTCATTTTCTTTTGATAACATAGGATTTCATACACCAAGAATATAAACCCTTAAATATTTGTATATATTTACAAATAATTCATACATTTTAATAAAATTATATGAAATCAATTTAATTATGAGTAATACAATTAAAATGCTAGGTTTGTCAATGGAGTTGAGAGTAGCATATTGAGCTGCCATGCGAGAGATCCCAGATTCAAATATAGGATTAGAGACCAATTAAATTATTTTTTTTATTATTTTATTAAAACACCTAAATTATTTTAAAATTAGTTATTTTACCTTAATAGCCTTATATAATTTTTAAAATTTGTAGATTTTCTTTAATGGGTCGTTGAAAAAATATACTATACAACTCGAGTGGATTGTTTTTATCACATTCAGACTAACATAATATGGCAAACACTTTTTTGTAGGTAATTTTCACATTTCCCAATTTTGTATTATTTCAGTACTTTAACATAATGTTAGAAATGTTTTAAATGTCCCTCCCTAATCACTAATTTTTGAATGAATGTTTGTATATTGTATATAAACATAAGAACATTGTGAATTAACAAAAATTCAATCTTTGAAATTATTCAACTTCTCAAATGGATCAATTTTCATATTCTTAATTGCCTTACTTTTCATTATACAGGGTATTTGAATAAATATTAGGTTTAGCTAACTAGGGAGCTGCAAAACAATTTTAACATTTAAAGAGCTCATTGCTTGCAATTCTATGGGCAAATTTGAAAATATCCTAATCTAAATCAGGTTTTTTTTTCGCTCTTTTGAAATATCTGAACAGATTGAAAGATTTTGTTATGCAAGATTATTGAGACGGAAATAAATGGAAATGGAAATTTTGTTGAGTAATGACTGAATTTTAATTATTTACTGTATACCTATATCAATAAATTTGTTTTGATTTGAGTTAAAATAGAATGATGGTGGGCGAGGTTTTCCGGGTTTTCCTCACCTGTAAGTCAAATGGCACCATCAATCATCTTTAAGGCTGTTTTCGCGGTTCACTATTTTAGCATTATGAATGCATCTTAGTTATTTATCATCAGTATATTTTCATTTTTTTGCTGAAATATTCAAAAGAAACACCCTAATAATATCTAGTCTTTTAATTTTTTTGTTACACACTAGTTTTTTAAATAAAAAATAAAAATGAATATCAAATTTTATCAATTTGCAAATATCAATTTTTGGAACACTGGAGTTTATAGCTGATTTTTTTTTTCTATTTACAAGTTTTTGCCAATATCAAAAACTAATTGAGTTTTGTCCTAAACCGTTTTCCATTAATATTTTTATTTCGAACTCGTGAAAATATTTCTTTCTTTATCACGTACCTGGAACCAACGGTTGCCTGGATTAGCAAATATAAAGTGATTCGGCCTGGGTCTAACTCGCTCTTTTGATTGTAAAAATTTAGTACAATATATTTTTTATTATTTTTTACGTGTTGTGTAACTAATTATGAAAGAAAAGTCGTGCAGTTACTAGCAAAAGGTTAGACTATTTTTATTATACATTTTACTAAAGAAAAATAAATATAATTTGATTGATATGCGAATATGATTTTTATTGATAAATTTCCAAATTATATAGGAATTCATGAATATTTTGAGAAATATCTCGAGTCGAATTATAACGCTTTATCTGGAGTTGTAAGTTTATATTTTAATATTATAACATGTGATCCAAAAACAATGTTTCTAAAGTAAGCCATGACCGACAGAATCGTGAAGAATCCGTCATGCGTGATTTTCCGTGGTCTACTTTAGAAACATTTTTATATTTGACATAACATAAAGGGTTTATTTTTAAATGCACTTATTTTTTACAGGCTTGCATTATTGTGGCGAAAACTGGAAAAACTTTCTTCTAAAAGTAAGTATTGTCCTATTTGTGCTCGAGCTTTAACTAAAAACATAAAAGCTGCAACTCATAAATGTTCAAAAAATTGGGATGGTTCGTCGACTTCTATGGAAACGGAACTAATTTTAGAAGGATTCTGTAATAGTATAAAAAAGCACAAATTAAAATATGTAAATATTATTGGCGATGAAGACAGAAGTGTTTACCAAAAAATTTGCTTAGAGAGACCCTACGGAAAAACAATGGTCCGCAAAGTAGAATGCATAAACCATCTTCTCAGGAATTATTGAACAAATTTGCGTGATCTTGCGAAAAAAAAAATACAGTTCAAAAAACAAAATAGTAAGTCCAGAACTAAAAAAAAAAAAAAATGCACAATATTTTTGTAAAAGAGAACAAAACGACAGAGATTATGTGACAGAAATGGAAGAATGCGAACTAATGGATGACATTGTATCTGCTGGTAATAGGCTGGTTCAAAACAGCCACAGTTTATTATTAAACATGACTAATAATGCTGCAGAGACATATAATTCAATCATAGCCAAATTTGTTGAAAGAAAGAGAATTAATTTTGCAGTAAAAGGAGGATATAATGTTCGGTGTACAGCTGTAGCCATTTCTTTTAATAAAAAAGAGAACTATATTTCCACTCTTTATAAAAAGCTGTCAAAGTGTTCCTGGGATTCACACACAAAGATTGGTTACTCAAATGAGCAAACGTAGATGTAGTAGAAAAGCCAGGGACCCTCAATTAAAAAAACGCAAAAGTGGCACACCTAAAGATAGGGACTACGGACTTCAATGCGATGATGATGATGACGATGTTTTGAAACAAAAAACTGCAATTTTTGGATAGTTTACAAAAATCAATAGATGATATTTGGAAAATTGAAGTACCTACTAGAAGTCAGGCCACTAATGATCTGTGGAAAGACCATCGTAGTAATATGCTCACGGCTTCAAATTTTGGAACTGTTTGCAAATTACGCAATACAACAGATCCAAAAAAAGACTGTTTATAACATATTTGTTTGCACCGAATTAGTTTTAATTTTAATACATGCTGCGCCATCTCTCACATTGGCTATCAAGTTCCGACTCCGCGAGTACCGTGAGGGATGTGACGATATGTGGTGCGAAGTGCGACCAAGAAAAGAGTCAAGAAACGTATCTCGAACGCGACGAAAGCGAAATCCCGGTGCCAGTCTGCACCACTTTATTATTTTTAATAAATCTATAGTTAAAAGTAATTTCTAGCGTTTAATTTAAAAGGGATCAAAAACCCGAAAATTCGAAAAATAGATTCGGTTTTCATCGAATCAATATTATTTTCATCTTTTCACGGATCAGTCGCTACAAAATGGGGACAAGATAATGAATTTGCGATAAAAGAATTTAAAAATAAATATGGAAAAACGGTACAAGAATGTGGATTATTTATTTATGAAAAACATCCATACTTGGGAGCAAGTCCAGACGGCATTATTAATAATAATGAAATAATTGAAATTAAATATCCATATTCTTGTTCCAAATTGACACCAGAAATGGGAATTCAAGAAAAAAAAATTAAATATCTAGCCAATACACATGGCCAAGTTAAATTAAAAAAAAAAAAAAAGATAATTATGATTATCAGGTATAAGGACAATTGGCTATAACGAAAGCCAAATATTGTTATTTTATAGTTTGGACCCCACTAGGAATGTTCGTTGAGAAAATTGAGAAAGATGACAATTTTTGGTTATGTGCTGAACCAAAGTTAGTTGATTTTTATTAAAAATATTCAATAAAAGAAATAGTGAGAAGAAACTGATGTAATTTATTTTTTTTGAGATTGTATTTTGTTTTTTTGTGATTGTATTTTGTTATGTGAAATTAAATGATTCATTAAAAATAGTAGGTAATTAAAGTTTCTTTTTTTTATTAAGTATTTAATTTATTTTGACCTATTTTTAGTTTCAGTGAACGAAAAAAGATAAAACCAATACATATTTTTTTATGAAATTAAAACAAAGTATATATATTATGTACAATAAAATATACATGGGTACGATAAAATAGTTTTCAAAAAATTTTTCATCTACACTACAAATTAATTGTGAGATTGATGCGATTTTGTTTAAAAAACCAAATATTTTATATTATGTACCACTGAATATTAAAGCACTTTCCAAAAATCAGTTTCTTACTTTAAATATACCATAAATAAAGCCACCCAAAGCTTTCGCATGGATACCAAGTGTATATTATTGAATATTAGTAATAATAATAAAAATATTGTTTATTTACAAAAAATATGATCAATAAATATGTATAAAGATCCTTTTCACCTTAGAATATAAATAAAATAAATTTAAATGCAGTTAATCATTTATTTAAAAAAAAATAAAAAAGAAAACTTTTGAATCCGTCGTTTAAGTAATAAATAAAAATATTATCTGCAAAGAAGTTACTATCAACACAATAGTTGTTATAATATACAGACAAATTTGGCCAGCCCGCGTTTCAGGTGAAATTGAATACCGAGAAAGATAGGAGTCCTATTATACTGAACGAAGAAAGATAGAATTATTACACATACAAATGTCTTTACACAAACAAAGAGATGGTTGTGTTCAGAGATATTCTCTGAAATGGATGAGGTACCTCTCAACTTCGACCAAATGGAAAGCGGTAGAACAGCCTTAAGTCGCCCCGGATCGCCACGGCAAATAATAATAATAACCGTCCCTTCCCCTACACAAGTCGCACAAGCGACTTTAGGGATTGAAACTCACTCGTAAGGGGCTGAATTAAGGAGAGTATTATTATGATCGATTGTGAAAAATCTATGAGGATATGTTCGGCCTTGTAAACTGAATTAACTTAAATTTTGGGCATAGTCAGAACATCTGGGAGAGGGGGGCGGTACTTTATAGGGGGTCGTTTCTCTACTTTATGGAATACATCTGTTATTTACGCTTGGAGAAGAGAATTCTTCCAATAAAAATTCTCTGTAATTTTTGCCAAATACATAATTTTCCAAAAATGACCCGTATTCGAGAAACTTGACAAAATGTGCAAAATTCGAATTTTTAAGATAATTATTCAAATAAAAGTTGTTTGCAATATCACTCTATGATTTTTGTTCTATACATTATTTCTCTAAAATTGACTGTAATATAAAAGTAAATTAAAAATTATAGTGAAGATATTAAAAATCTCGAAAAAGACTGACCTGATGGTGAGGTACTCAAATTGACGGGTCCGTTCCTCTTGGAAGGCTCATACTCCTCGCCAGGTTCTTGTTTGATCGGTATCAACGATATGGATGGAGTAATGTTGGTTTCTTGTTCGATTCTCAAACAATTTGGTTGAATGTGACTGCTGGAAGGTGCATTAGAATTCGAATCGGCAGATTGAGGAGAATTCGGGCAGTCGCCGTTCATGCGTTGCGAATCACCGCTCTGACCAGGTTGGTTCGAGTTATTATTATCCCCCTAAAAAATAAACGCAGTCATTAGAATATTTTGAAAATAACAACTGAAACTATACTAGTTCTATCTGAATTACGCATGTGAAAGTTTTGGATTTTAGGTATTTTTGTTTTTTAAAGCTTACCGGTGAAGGTGGGAAACCAGGTACAGGCGCGTCCGTCATCGATATCTCCACGTGTGGCGTCAAAAAATGCATGGGCGGTGTTGCGTTATCCGTCGATCTGGCACCCGTCGAATCGCCGGAATCGCTGTAAGTGGCCCCCGTAACGCTGACAGAAAGGCTGCTAGTCAACTGATTGAGGGAGTTTAAAGTGCCGTCCATCGCGAAGCCTTGTTGGGCGGCGGCAGCTATTAAGGAGGCTTGAGATCCAGCCGGACCCGGATTATCTAAGTCAATGCCGTGTCTAGAAAAACAAACAAAAATTAAGTTACTTGAATTAAAAGGCAAAAATACAGGGTGCTATTGAAATACATGTACATATTCAAAGTTACAAGAGTGTATAATGTGCAAAAACGAATAGCAATAATATTAGCATTGAATTTTAAAATTTAAAAATGGGCGAATTTCCCTTTTTCCGACGATTCCGCTGTTGCCGGTTCATCACAATATGTATAAGAAATGTATTTTTTAAAACATATTTGCTCAACACTGTGAAACTTCCTAAAAATGCAATCTACTGTTGTTTAAGATAGATAGAAAACAATACACTACATTGACAATTGTTGTGAATGAGACCTTTATTATTAAGACATGCCCTAGAGGAGTAAACGACTGAAATACCCGTATTTCAGATATCACAAAAATTTGTTTTTTTTTCTGTTATTACACCGGTTTAGATAATTTCGGCGAAATCTATATGATTTCCAATCAATAATTATTATTGTACTATTTCGGGTGAAAAAATTTTCTTGAGTAATATTAGATATTTTTGCTCATATTGTTTTTTTGATACATCTGCTGCGTTTAGTTCAGATCGGTGTCTCCACGAAGAAGTTTAATGTAAATTCGGACACTTTAGCTCACAATGACTGATGCCCTGCATCATGTTGATTTTGGAGCACAAAAAGTATTAATTTCAGCCATTATTTCGGGATTTCGAAATTTCTGTTGATTTTGGAGATTTCGAGAAATTTGTAAGCGGTTTCGGTGATGGGGAGTGAAAACGTACTAGTATTTTGGGAGTGGTTCATCCTTCACAAGCCCCTCTCGTTTTTGTAAATAACTCTAGAAACTAAGTTTAGAAATGGTCTAATTTCCGCAGCCACATTATATCCTTTCTCGGTTAACTGGTTAACTGTATGTATCAGTTAAGTTAATACCAACATACGACAGTCAGGAAGCCTTAAGGAATTTGTGATTGCCGAACATTTTCACCATCAACTTCATACACAATGTTAGTAAATTGCATTTTAGATAAAAACATTTCTTTAAAAGATTAACATAAAACACAGAAAATGTTTTCTGTTCTCACTTAATTCGAAATCGTTTGCACTAGCGTACGTAAACCGATCGCATGGGGTTATTTTAAATGTGAAATTAATTGCTAGATGATGAAATAAAAAATACAAAAGGTTATAAAAGATACGTTTTTATTAAAATGAAAACAAATTATGACTAGCTATGACATTTTTATCAAGTCCGAAACAAATAATATACCGAGATAAATCATTTTAAATTATAAAAATGTTTTTATAACGAACATAATAAATGAGACGGTCGTCATCTATGTAAAAAAGTAATCTTCATGAAGATTGTACAATAATTTGAATATTCCAATCATTTTTTTAATCATTTTAAATAAAAAATGCAACCCAGTGTTACAGCTAATTACTATAGGACAGATTTTTGAATTACCTATTATTATATTAGAACTAAACTTAATGAATTATTAAATAGTAAAATTGTAAGACTCACTCTATGTTCAGTAGATATCATCAAGATTGTTTAATTTTATACATCTAACATTTTTATTGCAGAATAATAATAGTTTTAAGCTATGACATAGCTTTTATCGCGGGCTTTGAGTGCGGCGACCGAATCAAGAAATTCCGTAACACCCCCCACTCCGACTGGCACAGCCGTGCATCGTCTAACGTCGTTTCAGTTCGGCAGACTTCGGCACGGTGTTTGTGTGCGTGTGACTAGACGTATGCATGTAGACTAGATGATTTTATCTCTTTTAGACACAATTTCGGAAAAATTGAATTTGAAAATTAATAATGATCCACAAGAATCCACAACAAAATATGGGACCACCATTGACGCGGTATTTTCCAGATATTTAGAGGATATCAAGTCTCAAACTTATGTTTCTTATTTCAGTTACCATAAACCTATAGTTTCAATGATGAAAATTCCTGAATAACCTACATGTATTGTAAGATAATAAAAATATTTTAAACAATATTAACTTCTCATTTATTCAATAAAAGAAAAAAATTGTTTTCTTATCGGTCACCACGCTCAAAAAGTGTAACTTGAATTAATATAAAAAAAAAATACTGCATAAATAAATAAAATAAACAAATAATTATAATTGCATAATTTGATAAAAAAATGATATGCAATAGCTTTACCGCGGCAGTCCCCGAGTGCCAAAGTATTTTTTTTATTAATATACAGGTTATATAAGACGAATAATCTATTTTTTAGTGATGGGTCGCTCGGAAAAGTCCACAGATAAGTCTGAAAAGTGGACTTGTCCAAACAACTTTTCAACAGATGAAAAGTGTTGCATATGCCCGAAATTAGATTAAACAATTTGGTTGAATTTCTTATGAACACAGGCAAAATATAGTTTTTACAAAAAGAAGAAACAACAAATGACTACTCACTTTTATATGTTTTATTTTCTAATTAGGGTTTAAGATATTGCAGCGTTTAGGGTTGGTTTTACATTAAAACATTAGAGTTACTGATTAAAATTACGTATTAACAAAAGACAACATTATAACAAAAAGACAATCTTTATTGTATGAATAGAAAAACATTTAATACTTACCAGGGATACATTCTGAGAGTTGATGGTACTCATACGATACTCCAAAAACAAATGATTTTTATTTCTATTATATTTATAATGAAAGTTTAGATTCATATACTTTTGCTTGTTCAGGTAATTTCTATAAACATGGCTGTCTAATATTTACAGTAGTTCTTCTATGTCATTTTCTGAAGTTAGAATGTTAGATGATACAGTGTTCTGCTCTCTTGGAGTTCTGTTTTTTTTATGAAAATGGTTGTATATGCAGTTCTAAAATTAATAAACAGTTTTTGGCACTCCTTTCTAAACCGAAAATTAGGTTATTGGGTAGTTCCCAACTTGAATATCATGATTAAAATTTGTAGACATACAATAATGTGACTCAGGTATTTGGGGATGATGACGTTAGGTGACCTAGAATTTGTAGATGACCTGTGCCAACTGCAGATATGCCAACATGATATAACATTCATTTTCAAAATTCAATTACTTCTTCAATTACTGCTATTTCTCAAAATCATATTTTTACACTTTCTAGGAGGGCATTAATATTAACGTGTTTTAATATCTACATGTATTTCAAAAACACTCTTCATCAGAAAAATATACTTTGTGCCGTGCTTTTTCTCGCCATAGAGAACAATGCATGTCACAGAGGCCGCGCCTATGAAGGCAAACCGGTATTGCCTCGGTCGCATGAAATTTTCAACAACCTTACCTGTTAAAAAAATGTATTCTCAAACTCTTCATGGAACCAGCCCTATAACTGCACAACGGACACGACTTGACCAAATCGTGCTGTCCCACATGCTCGTTCTGGAAATGTGCCCTCATGGCGATCTGTCTCTGGAAACCCCGATTACAAATAGGACAATGATACGGCAACGTTTTGGTATGTGTGGTGAAATGCTCTGCCAAATGATCTTTTCTGAAGAACCTCTTCTGACACACTCGACACTCATATGGCTTCACTCCAGTGTGGCGCATCTTGTGACGACGCATGTTGGCGCCGTTCGAGAATTTCATGTTGCAGACGTCGCACTCGAACATCTTGCGGTGCACTCGGTCTGGAGGGGGGTTATTATTCGTTTCAACCTGTCAAAGTAACAATTTTTACTTAAATATCTGTTAAAATTACAAACAGCTGGGAAGCTAGATGGAACTGGCTAAAAATAGTCCAAAATATTTTAAATATATCCAGAATTGAAGGAGAAGATATATATTTACCTCCATTTCAACTTCGCTAGTACTATGAACTTGGGAGATGTGCACGGTTAAAGCAGCCTGGGTGCTAGCTTCGAAATCGCATTTGGTGCATTTGAATCCTTCGTTATCGTAATTAATGTTGGAGCCTGTCACCGATTCGCTTTCGTTTTGGTCTGCATCCTCTTCCGGTTTTACGTGGGTCGTGGCTACACCACTGCCTGAATCTGCCTCATTCTCAGCAGCAGTGTTAGCCATGATCACCGCTTGTAGTGTGCCTCCCTTGCCCCTTGTACCTGCTTATCCATCAACCTCTACAAACAAACACTTTGTATTAATATATGATTTTATTTATTGAAGTAATTGAAGTCTTCATTTAACAGTTTATTAAAATAATCTAATGCTCTAGTCTTTAAGTTACTTGTAAGACGGAAGACTAAACAGTCACTTGTCTTTAATATTGACCCTGTCAAAGCCAACAACCCCACAGGTTTGCCATATCAATGCCCATGGGCATCATTTTGGTCATTGAAATGTCGTTGCTAATATGATTTTAGGCAGACACAATAGAAATTTTCTTGGAAAGTTTCAACTATGCACGGTGGATTCTTTAAGAGACATTCTTTTTGCAATGAAAAATAAAAGTAGCACAGATGACATTAAGCCTAATATTTTAAAAAAACTTTTAAATTTGATAAACGCGTCCTTAGAAATATCAAAAATTCAAAATTATTTAAAAATTGCTACAATTGTCCCTATTCCTAAAATAAAAAACGCAAATCAAGCTAGTGATTTAAGACTTATTAGTATGTTAAGTTGTATCGAAAAAATCCTTGAGAAAGTCGTTTATGAATAAATTGTTAATTTTTTAAAACATAATAAACTTATTACTAAAATACAATCAGGCTTCAGGAGCAAGCAGAACTGTGAATCGGCTATTCAGTGTGTTTTATATAATTGGAAATATAATTTTGATCAAAAGTATCTAACGTTGGCAGTTTTCTCCAACGGGCATTTGAAACCGTTTCATGACAAAATTGTGTAGATTATCTAAGTAACAGGAAACTAAGGATAAAAATAAATAACATATTAGAAGAAATTAACTATACCAAAAGAGTTCCACAGGGAAGCATATTGGGTTCCTTGTTATTTTTAGTTTATATCAACAACATTACTGATGTCAAGGGTCAATGTGACATTCACCTGTTTGCTGATGCTGCCCTTATATATTTTTCTTGTAAGGATCCAGATAATTTAGTAAGAGCTGTTAATTAAACTCTGAAAAATGTTTATAAATAGTGCTGCAATAATTTGTTAAAAATCAACACAAATAAAACAAAATGTATGCTGATACCTGAGTAATAACTATGGCTATGTGCAATCTGTTGAAAACCAATATAACCTGACAATTAGTAGAAAAAGTCAAATACTTAGGGGTAATGATTGACAAACAGATAAAATTCACAGACCATGCCAACTCTGTCATAAAGAGTATTGCATTTAAGTTAAATTTCCTATATATAAGTTCATTTTGCTTATCACAGTGGACTTAATGTATTATATTGTATAACATTATCGTTCTACCTCACTTTAATTATTGTTCTACAATACTCTTTTTTCTAAATCAAAATGAGTTGAACCGACTGCAGATGCGAATATTATCTTGCTCAAAATCTAATGTTTTAAACTTTGAATTGGATGCCAATTAAAATTCTATTATCAAGGAATGCATTAATTTTTATTTATAAAATCAAACACGGGTTACTTCCGATAAACTTAAAAGAGAACCTTAATTATCACTCTGATGTGCACAGTTATCCAACGCGGAACAGAAATAACTTTTATATTGAAACTGTTGTTAAGAGTGCAACACAAAATTCGCTATTTTTTAAAGATCTAGACCTCTATAATGCACTCCCAGAGAAAATTAAATCTGTAAATTCTATAACTACATTTAAAATCCAGGCACAAATTATTTAATTAATGAATATTTCTCCAAAAATAGTAGCAGGGTTAGTTAGTTTTAATTGTATTTGTATTATCTATGTTTTGACTTGTATATGTATTTTACTAAATTTGTATAAATATTGTGATATTAGCAAACTAGCTATACAATGGAAATAACAATAATAAATAATAAAATATAAAATACACTATCATCTCTTTAAGTTATTTGTGGGCATTCTATCATCAGATGATAATAATATTTAAAATATACATATCAAAAATTTTAAATTATATTTAAGATAGATATCTAGGTACTCATTTGATAATGCTTCAGGAATTTAGGTGTTGCTGACAGTATTGCATCAAAATTTTTCAAATTATTTACTTAAGAGTAAATATTGCAACAAAGTATGTAACTACTATTTATCAACCAATTAAAATATTGGTGCTACTATCAAAAAACTAGGAAAACTACAAAAACAACGGGCATTTGAAGTGAACAATGAAGTAAAAAGCAGAGTATAATGACATTTGATGCCATATCCAAAATGTCTTTGTCAATTAAGGTCATGACACTACTTATGGCCACTACCCTGCTTACGGCCACTTTTGGTTTAAGACCTAAAAATAAACGTTTAGCAACATTGTAAACAAAAATGGTGGTTGGAGAAGGTAAATGAGCATGTGGTTACATGATTGGGCAGGTTTGCATCTAATAAACCAAGTCCAATGGAAATCAGTAAAATAAATAATTAGAATGTGTAAAACATGCAAGCATTACTTGTTTTGGCTAAAAATTTACCTGTAAACATTGGAACAAAACTTACGATTTATTACAGATATTTTTGAAAACTTTCCATTCCAAAGGTAAGTAGATGTTAATACCCAATTTACTTATGAGTATTTTGTTTTTAACATCATATTTTTTTTTAATAAAAATATATATCAGTGTGGCAATGACAAGAAATTAACAATTCGTGAGTTATGGCCACCGCAGTTATTGTGTGGGTTGTGGGAGTTACTTGGTTTTTTAGCTAAGAAGATGAAATGTCACTGACACCTGACAGCAGTGGCAGTTTCTCAGATATAGAACCAGCAGTGATTATGCAGTTAGGCAAAACATTAAAACCGGGCGACTTTATATATTGGTACAATTTAGTGCCTGTGGCAAAATAAGATCGACCATGTATAAATATGTTGTACGCCAAACTATGGAGAATGAAATAGGAATCCAGTGCTTAAAAAGCACAAAGAAAAAACTACGTTTGGATATATATTGAGAGATTTCCACTGTTCCCATATCTGATGTTTTAGGACTGTTAACCGAGCATTCTCTAGTAGAACAAGGTTAAAAATTGGTCATAACATTTTTAGGAAGTGTTGAGGTACCATTTGGGAAGGCGAGACCGATAACGACTTCAAGTGGCAGGCAGCAAGCAGCAAATACTATCGTACTAAAAGTGCTATCATCGGTCGCGCCTTCCCAAATGTGTTTCATTTAATTTCATGTGTTCAGGCGTTTAGATATCGTTTTCGGTCTCCTTCGCTGTCACTTTGCGCTGAAGTCGGTCTCAGTCTCGCCTTTCCAAATGTTCATGAAAAATAAATTTCATATTTTAGCAAAAATTTTAATTTGTTATACCCTACCTATTCTAAATCGCTACTGAGTACATAAATGTAAATTAATATTTAAAAATGCAACTTAAAAATTAGTGGCCATAAGTAGAGAACTAGTGGCGGACTGATGGCCAAAAATAAAGAATTTCTTTCACTTTTATAAAAAAAATGTAAAAAAGAATTACATGCTTTTAACAAAGTAGATGCATATACTGTTGAAAACTATATACTTCAACCTATCAAATAGTATTTCTATTTATTTTTTCTGTTACAATATTATTGAAAAACAGACCCCACAAGAGTATTTTTGCCTTAAGGTGGCCATAAGTAGTGCCATGACCCTACTTCCTGTACTTCTGGCAGATGGACATGTGACATTTCTTCAGCTAAGTACTTTTGTACTGATGACATACATTTAATATCATAGTTCATGTTACACTATTTTAAATCTTGAAAAAAAGAATTATAAATTGTTCCGCAGTATAGAAAAAACATGTAACAATGCAATTTTTAAACAAATACCAATGGTTTGCCTTAGTTTTTGCACTGTATATTACATATTTTTCAATTTTGTATATTGAAAGAAATACTATAGACCTCATATTTTTTGTAATAGAAAAAGCGACAAAACATTATTTGCAAGATTTTCCAGAGATTGAAAATTCATTAATGACATTAAAATTTCCTGAAGTCATCCCACATTGTATGTACTTCATTCTGCAAATATTTTGGATGCATTCAAAGATAGAGAAGTATTTAATCAGTACAACACAAATCAATAGTTATCAAATTATTCTGCATTTTATTAGTAATGATAAAAGTTAATGGCAAGTTTGGTAATTATCTAAATCTAAAGATTGGAATTAAATTTAAAATATTTCCATATGAATCACTATGGTTAGAAAACGTTTGAAAAAAATTTATTTGTGTTTAAAAAAATATATAAATATAATCTAAGTAGGTATGAATTGACTAATTTTTTATAGGTTTCGAGTCTGATATTTATGGTAGTGTTCAAATATTTAATGACTTTTTTCTATAAAATTATTTAAAAGAGATATTAAACAATGTTTGGTTTCTTATAAGCTTCTGACAGTTCTAGGTATGTTATCAGATTATTATTTATTTATACAAGTTCTAAGAGCCAAAAAGACAACAATTCAGTTTTTTTTTTCTTCGAAATTAATAGCAAATATGCCATGACTTCTGAAGACCATCTAGATAATAAATTTGTATTCCTCAAACAGGTGAAATTAAGGAATTATTATTGAAGATAAAAATAAGCTTTGTAACATACAGTCCAGATGCAGTCAAAGAAATAATTGCATTTATAATTATTAATTCCTTGCTACTTATACCAGTACGTCTTAAATTTTTCATGGGTATAGGGCAAAACTATAAAGAGCAACAGTTGGAAGAGTATTCATATGAAGCGAGAATAAGAGGAAGAAAGCAGAATAGGGCATTGGCAATCCCACTATTCATCCCGACACCTATCGATCTTATCCGTTGACTCCGACTGCAAACCAAAAACCAAACAAAATCAGTCCAGATTACATTGAGTTCATACCACGTGAAGGTAAAATAGATTCTGGTTTTAGTTTTAAAATAACTAGATATTAATGTGCCAAACGTTATTAATACAAATAGTGAAGTGATACTATGGGGGTCATTCAGTTCAAAATATTATAAAT